CGATCGAAAAACGAATCTCTTCTTCATGCACTTTCATACGAAATGAAGTTCCACCTCAAGAAAGATGGCCTGCCTCATACCCACCTACTTCCTAAAGTTCAATTGGGTCCATTTATGCATCGCATGTTTTGCTTCCATTTCCTACACTTTGCCCCAATATTTGCTCATGCGTCAAGTGAGCACATCCAACCCAAACATGCCAAGATGCACAAATGGACCAAATTGAACTTTGCAAAGTAGTTGGTTTTAGGTCGGCCATCTTTGTTGTCTTCGCGTTTGGCAGAATTGGCAAAAAACATCGTGTCCTGCTCTGACCATGTTCGTGGCATGACGGACGAAAGGTCAGGAAGCCCCTACAGCTTCTGGTAAGACCAACTTGTCAATCCCTTCCACTCGCCTCTTCAAGCAACAATCTGCCAAGGCAGTGGTTCCCACTCTTTTACTAGTCGCGGCGCCCTTTTTCAATTAACATTTCTCCATGGCACCCTACCCTAATTATGACTACTCGTAAGTAAGAGATTTCATTATTTTTGTTAACTTTATTCACATTCAATTTATATTTAATAATTAATGTAATGGATGAGCCTGCAAATCACTACACATTTTCTCAAATGGAAGCTTGAACAATATTTTGCGGCTGCCCAGGGCGCCGCGGCGCACAGTTGGTTAAGGGATTCTTCGAAACCCACATTTTCCAATTACAAGACGTTTGTTGGCCTGGAAATAGCACACAATTTAGACATAATTAATCCCATGTGAAAAGGAAACTTTCTAAAATCGAATATAGTTTGTTGTTTTCAGAAAAAGAAAGACAAATTGCCAAAAAAATACAAGCCGTGAATACTTGGAAGATGTTGATAAAAAGGGCAAGCCTGAATTGGCTGGACAAATGGTCCAAACAGAATATCTATAAGTCGGGCCCAAAGCACGTTGAGCTGGTTACGAGATGTACATGAAGAAAAGGACTCTATTCTTTCATAATTGTTGAGCTTACTTACATTTCAAGTGAAAGTGTGGCGTGAAGAGATTCGACGGTTGGTTTTCTTGATTCGTTGACTTCAATTTGGTCGTGACGATGATACCTTGCTTTCATGATGTTCGTCATTTGACGAAATCAAAGGAAGAAAAGGTGGGTTTTTAGGACTCTCTTCTTTCATAATTGTTGAACTTACTTCCATTTCGTGAAGAGATTCGAAGGTCGGCTCCACCAGAAGACGACGGCCGATTCCTCTTGACCAGCTGTCGATTGGCTTTACTGGAACATTCATACTGAAGCTGTTTCTGTGGCAATCTCCTTCGATTTCGGTGGAAAGATGCTAAGCTTTCATCCGTCATCAGAGCGAAGTAACATTGTCACAACAAAATTTGAGCTAACGAGTCAAGAAAACTGACCGGCAAATCCCTAAAAAGTGGTATCTATACTCTACATCTGGCCTCTTTGATTAAATATAAATTGATTTGTTTAGTTGAGGTCATATGTCAACTTTGATGCATGTGAGTGTGTCTGTTTCTGTATGTTTTCTTGACTCGTCAGCTTGAGTTTGGTTGTGACGCTGATGATGTTCGTCATGCGATGGACGAAAGCTTAGCACCTTGTCACCGGAATCGAAGAGATTGCCGATCTACAACTGGTCGTCTTCTGGTGCAACCGAGCTTCGAATCTCTTTACGCCACCCTTTCACTCGAAATGGAAGTGAGCTCAAGACTGGTTACGAGAGTTGAGCACGAGACCGCTACAAAGGCAGGCAACTGAAAGCGGCAAAGCAGCCACCCTTTTGACGTGGAGGATCGAGTGTAGGAAATCGAGTAGCAACCAATCACGACTGTCGAATAAAAGAGAGGATAACAAAGAGAGCAAGAGAGAAAGAGAGAAAGAGACAGGTCCAGCAAAGGGAAGCAGTGAAGAAGCGAAGGAGT